AAATGGAATCAAAATGACTAACAAAATGTACAACTAAATGAATCAATAGGAACAAATTGAAAATGTACACATGGAAGGATTCTCACCCACATAACCTTCAAAATGATCGTTTAATCACGAATTATTTCCTGATAGCTGGTTAGATTTCTTAAATTCTTGTTTCGCAACACGTACTAATGGATATAATCGTTGAGATAATGTACATTATTGACAGGATAACGTATGTTCTGTTAGATCCATATTCAAGAAACATATAAGTATAAACAAGTATTGATTGTACTACTAATCAATCGTTTAACATTCTAAGAAGTAAATTAACAGGTCATGAAGGATATGAGATTGTGATAAACTTCGTTAATCATGGTCACATCATTTAGACACGAATAATTTTTATTACATTGAAAGAATTTATTTCATATTACATGCATGTATGTGAAATAAAGATTCATCAAACATTTATTTGGATCCTTTATATGGATCCTGCTGGATCACACTACACAAAACCACCTCGATCATAGTTGAACCACTGAAAAATGAACAAGGTCAATGTAAGACATGAGAATCAGAAGAAAGGCTAACATAGCTACAGATAATCACCTGTACAACTTTGGGAACAGCATTACAATGCTTCAATATAGCATTTCATTCAGTATCGTAATACACTTTTTCTCTCAGTACTGTTTTCGCTCAGGTAGTCAGACGGGTGCTTAGCACATGGTACACCGTGTATCAGTATCGGACTTCTGACAGCACACGTCATAACAGAGACTTTGAGTAAAACGAGATTACTTGGACTTCACAAATGAACTGACCCTTCCATTCCATATACACGAACAAACGCCGGTCAAGACAATCAGTTTATTAGCAATCTCTGTATCGGTAGGCCTCAACATACACAAGGAAAAAACCATGATCTCCAAACATGACTCGAGGAACAACAACCCAATCACATTTGATGGAAAAACTCTGGAAGAAATGGAATCTTTCATGTACCAGTCCAGCATCATTGATGAACGTGGAGGACCTGATGCAGACGTAAATTAACAAGGAATTCTCTTAACAGTGCAATCTGGGCCAAATAGAACTCGTTAAGCAGAAACAAACGTATTGTGTTTCGTATTCGATACCAACGAGGAATCAAGTACAAACACAGCCATTCGTTTATACAAACACCACATGAACTCAAAATAACAACCAGTCAAAATCAAAGTGAATTTTTGTTTAACAATCCTAAATTTACATGCTTTAACCGATGTACTTTCCCTCCTAACCTGACCATTTTTTCGGATTATTAGTTTGTATATATGAACTGTAGGAACCTGAAGAAAATTCTTCGAAAGGAATATTCTTCGTTCAAATACTAGTCTTTTATTATGATGGGGATCTTTAGATGATTCGAATCATTTTCCTCAACGTTTTTATGACACTTTGTCACAACGTAGACGTATGAAGCTTATCAAGGCAAGAAATTGTTGAATGTCAATGAAACACTGGTAATATCAGCTTGTTCCAAATGAAGATTGCTACTTGTTACTGTTTAGTCTGTTTTCCATTCACTGTCCTCATTCACTTCCCATAGACTCTTTTGTGTATTGTTTTATACTACTTATTTATATTCAGTAAATAGTTGTATGCCAAGCATAGTTTACGCTGATGTCGTAACGCAAGTTTGTTGTGTAATATTCTGAAATATTTACATATACTTATAACACTTTATTGTATTTATCAGTATCATTACTTTATCTCAATCATTGTAGCAGTTATTCACAATTTTGTGCATTTGTTTAATCCATGTGTAAACTCAACGGTTTCCATATTGTTTGCTGTTGGTTCGGTTTTCGCTTGTTGATAAAAAATACTACCAAGTTTAGGTGCAGCTAATCGCTGTCTTTAACACTATCGTATGTTGTAATTATTCTTTATGTTACTGTTACAGGAAGCCTCTTTTGTTCCAGACAAAAAGAGGCGGTAAATACTGCAAACACCTCACAATTTGAGGTCTGTAACTAATGTTTGTATATTATTCAATAAAAACCGCTGTTTCAGTGAAATCGTTGTTTTGCGAACTTGGATTTTGTGCGTATCACAATTGGGTGTGTTATGACCTTGGATGTCTTGTTTTTGCTATCACGCGATTTATCTACCAATCCGGATACGACTTATACGAATCTTCACACTAGGCCAACCAGTGACGTTCAACCGGTGTGGGCAGTTTAGCGTCCTTATTGGTCCTATGTCCTACGAGCCCTTCCACTTGAGTCCAGAACAAGATACCAGCTTCCGAATCAGAGCAGATCGTTTATTTCAGGCATACTTGGTTTATATATCAATCATACAGACCGCAACGTACCATAAAATAGGAAATAATATTTGTACACAAATAAGCCCAAAAAGTGGCTGTGAATGAGGGAGGCAGTAGTTAATAAACTGAACATAACTTAAGAACCGTAAATCGTACAATAATAAATTATAGGCCAAAATAAAGCTTGTCATAAGAGGGATACAAATATATATAATGTAATTGTTGAATAGTTATGCAATAAGAATATTAGTCCATGAATAGTCCTCGGAAGTTACCTGTAATTTAATCTCCACTCGGATATAACAGGGTGGTTTAGAAGTTTCGTGAAACTCGACAGTCCTCAGCATGATCCTGTAATAGATGGTCTAATGTCAAGTACACTTAGGTTATTCTAGCTTCCGAATGAACCGATTTATCCATTCTTTTCTAGCTTCATTGTGACCTTGTCGCTTATTCACTTATCAGCCTTGACTGTTTCTATGTAAGAGTATGTGTGTTCACTTCTTACTCATCACATATCTGTACCTTATTTTTGTCTGACTACAAATATCAACTCACTCATCTCATTTTGCTTCGGTTTGTTTTCCAATGAACGATTACATGAAATAAACGCATTCAGAATCCATTCTCGTATTTAACCTAATTTATCCCGTTATTTACTAATACAATCTTAGTCAATAATTATATACGAGGATTTGCGGCATGTATATTTCAGTAATAATCAATCTACAATATAACTGGAATCAGATAATGGGTCAATAAAACTTCTTAAACGAGAGTCGAACTCACGAGGTTCGGCCTCGTGTGTGAACGCATACACTTTAGATCAATAAACAAACATTCAAAGGTGTAAATGTTGAAATTCAATGAATTCGCGAAATTGCGCGACCATCATTAAGGGTTCTTTGTGGGTGCCTTTCATTTAATCGTCACGGATGAAATCCACTGATAATTCTTGAAATCTCTTCCCAAAGCTGGTCACATGGAGATTATCAGTATGGAGTTTGTGGGGACTACTAAATATTAAGTAGATCAAGAACCCGTCGAAGTAAAAGAAACCATTAACATGGCACTGACATTCATAAGAGTCGGTTGTATGTAATAAATATTCCTACCTATTCAGAAATCGTTGTTAACAGGACAGAGGCCTGACCAAATCACGTTTTAGAAAAGATGCCGTTGGAGCTCAGTGGTAGGTTCATTTTCAACTGATCGGCGCTGGTACGTAAAACAGGAAAAAAAAAAGAAATTCTTCTGTATGATATTTGTATATAAAATGACAGTTTTTACTTCACTGAATTAATTCCCTATTTGTAACGGAATACATCTTCATTTTTTGTCTATGTTGTGTTTATATTTGAGAATTGTCTTGGACAACCAAAGTGTCCAAAAATACTAAGCAATAAAATAATACCAGGCCGAAGGCGGGGAGACTTAACATTTCTACCAGTCAGAAGCTGTTTACTTTTTGGGGGACTCGCTTACTCCAGGTCATCAAGTGTCAAATACTTAAGTTTCTACTCACTGGGATATGACTTTAGTGAATAAGAACACCAGTGGAGACAATCGAATGTCGTTGACACGAAATTACAGAACATCTCACTAAAATCTCAGAACCATATAGTAAATAGTTAATTTGCAAAATATCAATCCATCACGTCAAACATGATTGTTCCTTTCGCAAATATCAATCCATTGTCTTAGATTTCATTGTTCATGCATTCTTATACCAATCGCCTTCCATTCACGTTCTCTCATTCATGGACTTCTGCTGAAATACATACTATGCCTGACGACAATTATATACTACTGATGTGGATATAAGTAACCCACACCACATGACTAATTGATTATTTCATTATCACACAATACAGAAAATGTGTTGGTTTGCTTTTGCTCTAGTGAGAACGTAAACGAATGTTAACTGATTAGCCATGAAGGACTCTCGTTGCTGTAATATATCACATAACTACACAACTAAACACAATATACCTTAGTTAATGATTCTCGTATATAACCGATTAGCTACAAAATGTAATCAGCATATTTTCTATATAAATAACATTTGTTATGCTTAAGAGTTGTTAGTTAATCAATCACGGGTTAAGTAGATTTTTCAACCTTGAACTTGAACTTTATTTATTTATTTATACCTTCATATCAATCTCTTACACATACATACATACCGGCACACTCACACACATACGATTTGTTACTCAGTTAAGTATTTCCATGTAATTGAATTCTTCACATGATTTGTAGTTAACTGACTCATTTGATCCTATTTTACAAAAAAATCAACATCCAAATATGATTGGTTTAACACAGTATAATCCTGATTGTTGAAAAGCTATATATGTCTTTGATAATTTTGATTTTGATTATTACCCTGAAGAAGTCCAGACAAGTTAGCTGGACGAAACGTTGGAATTAGTTATATTTCAATCGCTGAGAATATTTCAAATATAATTTTCACATATAATGACTTCTCTATACTCGGCGCTCAATTACTGTCAAACTATTCGTTCTAATCATGACGAATATTCGTATAAGTAGATTTATGTTGTATGAGAGTGGACGAGAACACAAGTCGGGTCAACCGAATACATCTCAATGCGATACTACAAAATATCATGGTAAAATCTGAGAATAATACAGTAAATATTCCATTTTCAAACTATCCACTGATTCTCTCAGAATTTATTGTCCCTTCATTTCCATACCAATCGCTCTGTCTTCTCGTTTTCTTCCTTTCGATCTTATTAAGATTCTGCTGACAGGCTTTCCTCTTTTGATCGGTGATACACACTACTTATATCAGTCAACATCAGTAGTACAGAACACAGTATGTCTGCAGCTGCCTGTGAATGAGAATATAATCAATATACATGTAGACATTCATCCAATCATTGATCGAATTTCTAAAATGAAATTCGACCAATCAAAATTGGATTATTGATTTCATCTTCTGTATTTTGATTGGATGAATCAGTTGTCCTTGTTACCTTCCCTTCTTCCTCTTTCAAGATTATTGATCGATAGGAAGAAGGAATATTTTTCCCTTGAATAAATAATAATGAAAAGTTAATGTGACGATTTATTTATTCATTTTCACAATTTGGAAACTTGTGATTCAATTAGATTCAGTAAGTTGAATAATGATTTGACCAATGTGTTCTGTGATTCGAATGGTTATTAGCATTATTTTATTGTGTTTAAGAGAAAATCTCTGGCACTCTCCATTGTTTGAATGGAATATGACAGAGTATCATCATTTGAAATGTTGCCATGCGTAAACTACTGTAGAACTGTGATATTCATAGTTATAGATTACTTATAGACAATAAGATTTCTGCAATAAAACTTAATCACAATGATAGCTGAGCTATTCGAAGCGGATTACACGGAACAGTGTTGAAATCCTAATCCAGAAAATAATAATGAACTGCATGAATTATTAAAGTATTCAACTAGGGGAATAACTAAGCGAAAGGATTATTGTCTAGTACATCGTAAAAGGAATTATCCGATAATAATCTGACCTGAATTTTCATTTTAAATGAAATAACCATTGAAACCAGGGAGCAGTGGACAACTGCTTCGTCTTGGAATATTACTTAACATTGGATATCCATAGCACTTATTGAGATTAAGCTTAGACGGTTAACAGAATTATCCGATCAACGAAAGTCCATAATATAAACTACAAACTGAACAATTTAACCGTAATATCCTAATCTGTTAAAATTTATTAGTACACTGCATGTAAATGTTCACTAGTTATTTAAGTATCTGTGATAGACCATGAGTGTATTTATCAACTTCTATAACACAACGTAATCAGAATCTGTGTATTAAGTGCCGCAGAGTGCTTCAATGAAGCTCCTCATATTGATGTATGTTACCGACTTTACCAAGTACAGTTAAGCTAATGTTGACAGTTGTTGGTAAATACACTCTCCTCCAAGTACGGATAAATATTCACAATAAACAGTTGACAGCCATCGGATGATACTGCTACGCTGGTCCAATCAGGTACGCAGAACAGCGTTCATTCTAGTGATCTATTCACTGACTCCACCAGCTGACTTCTGCCTATACGAAATGGAAGCCATAACTTTTAAATGTTTATGTTTAAAACACTACAATATTCATCTATCCTACATGTTGATCTGTTTTGCTTCTTTGTCTTCCAGGATTCCCATCAGACAAAAGTAATAGTGCAGTCAAAATACAAACCATGTCAACTTTAAGTCAACAACGTAAACTAGTTGAACAACTACGTCAAGAAGCAAATTTAAATCGTCGTCCTGTTTCTGAATGTGTGCAAGAAATGATTGTGTATATGGAGCAGAATCGAGAAAAAGATTGTCTTGTTTCAGGATTTGCGAGTAAGAAAGATAATCCATTCCAAGAAAAAGGCGGATGCGTGGTGATTTAGGCAACTTGTTAAATGGATGATAAAACAAACAATTTAGACTCAGTGTTCAATTATCCTTATGCTCTTTACTTCTCTGCTTATTTAACGAACATTTTGTTTTTCCTGAAGAATGTGGGGAAACTAGTTCAATGTCCAATTAAATTGATTTGATTCTTAAACTTTGGTATTTTAATTGTATTGCTTCATTTCGTTTTTGTGTACATGGACAAGCGCTCACAAGTAAATTTATTTAATTATACTTTTATATGAATAATAGGGGTACTCTCATTTCGTCTATCTATTTCGTAATATCTTATTATTTCTGTTGTTTCTATCTCTATGGATGCAGACACTTTAATCCAAATAAAAACCAAATAACGATGAACGTTTGAAAACAGACAGATTCTTCGAAAGCGAACTTTTCGTTGATTATCTGTGTTCTTCTTACAGTGACGTTGATAGACTACTTTACTTCATTCAGCGAGGAACCCTAAGATGTTAGTCTATTCACCAATGTTGCGAATCATTCTAATAGTGATATTAGTTTGCTGGGTAATTGTTGACAGGGATGTGTTCCACTGGTGACCTACCGTGGTTCTCAAATTACCATGAGAGTCCAGAGCTAAATATTAATCACTGAGAATGCAGGTGATATGATAGCACTATTCTTTAGACAACTCGAGAAATGGTCGGATTAGGAGTGAAGGTTAAGTTATGAAGTTAGTAGCGATATTTAGGAATCGAGTACGGAATAATACTTGGTAGCCATGATGATAAATACATGTACAGTTTCTGCATGATTTCATATACTAGAAACCTTTAAGTTGTCTTCACAAATCCACCTACTATCTTCCTGGTTTGTGAAAACCTTAAATGTATTTGTTTGTGTTCCCTTTTACATCGCAAATTAATCACTTTCTCATTGTTATTTTAAGAAACGTTCAAGTTAGTTCCTTATTTCTGCTGTTCTCGTAATAATCAGTGTTAAACGTCATACTGAATGAATAATGGTAGGTTCTACCTCTTTCTTACTTAGCTTTTCGTACGAAATAAGCTTCTCACCATTGCACCTTGACGTTTGCTCAGAACTCCATGACACTCCAACTTAAATCTTGTCCGTTAGTCAGAACTGTATATTTTTCGCTTAACTGTTTTCTTCTAACTTAAAATTCCTCTAAACTGATGCCTATAACCCCTTAGTGTCAGTAGATATTTAGGAAAGCCAGTTTGAATCTTACTAGATTGAAGTATCATTTGATTCAGGATAATGTGCATATTTCATTAATGAAAGCCAAGTGACATGAAATTCTGAGCCAATGTGAGCATCGAAACGGCTAGTTATAGCCACCTAACATCAAATAAGGTTTTATGATGATCGACCGAACTTTTCAGGCTATGATATGATAAGAATAATGAATGCACATTTCTTTTCATCAATAAGCTTGACTGAATCTACAGTATGAATGAGAAACAGTAAAATCGGACTCTTGTATTGTTGAAAATCAGATAGATTAAACGTATTTGATAATATCGACTAAACAAGAGTAGCATTGTCAATGCTAAATTTGGAGATACAACAGATGACTAGTCATCATTCACTGGATTTCATTTATTTCAAGCGGCGATTTTTCACTGGTGTTTTCTGTCTTGGTTTCAACAAACTATTTGAATGGTTCATAGTTGAGTTTGTTGACGACTCTTGAATTGTTATCGACACAATGCCATTATCGTACCATCTTGATGATGCTTCAGAACGACCATTTGTCAAATGTGGTGTAGATGTTGGGCATTTTAAGAATGATGAACTAGAGATATTGACAGATTTGGCTTGCATTTTCCCGCTACCCTATAATTTGTTAACATTATAGACAAGCAATCAGTGAAAATCTATTTATAAGAAACGTTCATAGTTTATGCTAGCGAAAACTTAGTCTTTGGCACTGATAATTTTAAATATGACTTTGTTTTGTCGTGAAGGAAACTATTTGTCACCTGACAGTTATTTATGCCAGGTAATTCCTCAGGACAAAGTGGATCGGTCAATGAATCAGTCACGGTTGGTGTGTTGCGTAACAGAAACGTGGTTGGGCACAGTTTATTATATCGTATCACGTTGGTATATCAAAGATGAAATTAGAAATAATGAATAGCAAACGAATCGGAATGATTGTAGTAAATAATCACAATAAAACGGAGAACTAGCTTCGAGAAACGTAATAGGTTTGTAGAATAAGTATGAGATAATACTGAGACTCGGAAACTAGAGAGTGATGAATGAATGATTGGACTCCACCGCTAATTGTGGCACATAACATCTCCAACCAGTTTAATACAATAGATGTAATGTAGCTAGCAATGGAATCCGTCCTTTTGGGGACTTGCCAGCTGCATGTTTTTGACTACTGATCACAGTTGTTGCCTGAATTCCAACACTAACTAACATGACTCAAATCAACAGTCAGTAACTTTGTTTAATAGCCCCTAGCTAGCTTCCGACCGACTGTCACGCCAGTCAGGAGTTCATATCAGGTTATGTGGTGAATTTTGTACTTTGAACGTATACCGCAGAAGCCCCAGTGGGTGAAACAACAAGAATTCATCGAAGAATTTTCAGTCGTTACTTAGTAGCCTACATCTAACCTCACCATTCCTCACTGTGTTAGATGAAGTGGGAAGAAAGTATTTCATCTTTCTGAATACTGAAATTCTAAAAAATATCTCTACTTAAAGATCGTTCTAATCACCTGGAGGCTATGGAAGAAGTTCAGATTCTTTGAAAAAATCAACAATTAGACAATAGTACAAGTTACATTGTAGGGACCATTCCAAATATGCTTCAAACGGTCTTGACAGAAGCAACTGTGTTAAATGAAAAATGTTTTATGTGGGTCGACTTTCATTACGGATGGATGTTGGTTGTAGTACCAGCGTAAACTAGAAGGCGCTATGTAGTCATTTTGCCCTGATATTGAATTTTTCAACAGTCAGCACTTTGTGCAGTCACCTAGCTTAATGTCAACTAGACTAAGGCTAGGAATGGGGATTATTGGGTCCCAATTCAATAATCTAAAAGATGAGCGTTTGAAAAAAAACCTGATATCTTTCACTCGACCCTTATTTAAATGTTTGAAAAAATCACAGAGTATGTTAGTTTTAAATTCCTTTGAGTTAAGCACACATTTCAGTTAACACATATTCGAACGAAATGAAAAGAAAATGCCACCCTGACAACCGTTACTGGGTGGTAAACATTAAATCACTGAAAATAGTATGTAACTAGGGCTAAACAACGCTAATTTAATAGGCTATTATTATAACAACGGAGCATGCAGTCAGTTTCACTGTTTTCTATAAGCACAAGACTTAACAAAATTGGGAATTTATCGTCAGTTGGGTGTACTTGAGGTCTATTAATAATGGTGTTTGAGGTGAGACATGAATTCATTGAGAACATCATCACTAGTATACTCAGGTACATGCAGCTGTGACAAGTTCCAAGAAAATCGAATCGAGGTCACTGGTCACAAAATATAGAAAACATCGACAAAGACTGATAAATCATACCAGTTCCTATAATTAGTTACGACAAATGTCTAGCACTTCAAAATGTATTTTACGTTACTTTTATTGTTGAAATAAATCCACCTGGTCATGATGAAACGTTCTATTTATTGCATCTCAATTTTAACTAAACACAAGTTTGCGTAATCTATTTCGAGCCTTTAAATCGAGGATAACTAGCGATACTATTAATCTTCCTTATCAAAATAATGAACCAATAAATGACTTTGGTCAAGTCAACAGTCGTTTAAAGGTTTACCATAGATATTTCTAAATTTCTGCAAACAATCACAATTCTTTTCAGGTAACACTCGGAACCATCAATCGACCAAAAACTATGGCTGATGTAAAAACAAAACTAACTCTAATCCAAAAACATACCTCTGAATATCTTCGCTTGTTCAAAAGACGTCGTTCTCGTCGCCTTCTACTTTCTGCAGATGTGTTATGTCTTCTTGTTTTGTGTACAGATAGTGGCTTTGCATCATTGTTTTTGTTCTGTTCTACTGGGACTTGTTTTTGTAGATTTTGTTGGACACTTTGTTTGTTGTTACAGTCCGTACTGTTATTGCAGCTTATTTGAGTGGTAGATCTATTTTCGGAGAATTCTAAATGCTTCATCGAAGATTTCGACTTCCCTTTTCCTTTTTCTAGTCCTTCAACTTCCTCTTTCACCTTGTTCTTTCCTTTCCTCAGTGAAGTCTTCTTGCCAAATTCCTGGTCGATTTCCTTTCGTTTAGAAAAGCCGTTAGTCATCACTTCACTTAATTGATCAGTATCGTCACATGGATCTAGACTTTTAGAGCTGTTGGTAATATCCGTAGATTCATTACACTGTAATGATGAATCTGACCGCTTGTTTGTACTCTCTGACAATTTACTTGTATTAACGATGTCTTGACTGAGGCCATACTGCATGACTTCAGTTATTCTTTCAGATCCATCCTTCAAGCTGACTCTTCGCATTTGCTTAGGATGGTCAAAGCGAATTACTGGAACAATGCTTAACTCGCGTACTTCACTTAAACGAATAAGGACGTCACTGGGAGTGATAAGTAATGGACCGTGCACTGCCTCATGTTTTTGCTCTGATATATTCACTTGCTTACTGTTCTCACATGATGATCTGGATTCACAAAACACGCACGTGTATAAACATGAAAGCTCTCTCTATATCGGTACAACAATATTCATGCAAATAAAAGTTACCATGGGATCAAAACATTTTATTAGTCAAAATGAATGAGAAGTCAGTCAATGTGATGTCACTAAGTGAGGTTTTCCCACATCTTACAGTTTTGGTATACTCAGTCCGAAGCAGTACCTGGGTTATGGGGTGTATTGAATCATTTCAAACCACGGCAGTACATCAACTAAAAAAATCTTAAAGCTGAATCTTCTGGCCAGCTAATATATTAACACATTTGCACTGGATAGATGAAACAAGTGTGTACAAGCAATTCATCGTTTCCACAATAAATACTGCACTCGAAGAATTCATCATAGAAGGTTGGTTGCATAAAGTTTAAAGTACAGAAATGATATGCGTTAAATTATCTGCACACATTTCTATGTAAAGCTAAATCAGTCAGCAGAAGGATTTATTCAAAAAGAAGGAATGAAATCAACACAACTGGAGAATGGAAATTAACAAAACGAGAGCCAATGAAGGAGAAATGGTTTGAAGTACGTTTCAAAGGGAATGACGAAGATGAAAGAATGGAAATCTGGGAATGATTGTCAACTCAAGCTTTATGTGTAAATAGGGGAGGTAAGCAACTGCTCTGCTATGAACAATTCTGTGTTATGGCACTTAAAATCAGTAACAACAAATTCCAATGGTTGAAATCATGAGTCACTTGAAGCTAGACCACTATGGAAAACCTGGAAGTATTAGACGGCCGTTTTGTCCCAGTATGGGACTCCACGTCCTAGTTCTAGTGAGGAGTAGTTACCAGTGGAGTTCAACCAGGTCTGTTGTGAGATATCAACTCACTGAAGACAATGGTGTACGGTGGTGCAACTTCGTGGATTGGTTGAAGTTAGACATTAACACAGTTGGATGCTGGCTCAGTGGTCTAATGGTTCTGGGTTCGAGTCTCGCGGAGGACGGGGTCGTGGATGCGCACTGCTGAGGAGTCCCATACTAGGATGAAGCAGCCGTCCAGTGCTTCCAAGTTTCCCTTGGTGATCTAGCTTTATTTAACTTATGACCTCACTTATTAAATTAATATAATATCCACAAAACCCCCTTTCTGATAATTTACTGTAAATCGAATGTATCAAAAAGTATCTAGTAATACATTGTAGTGCCACTTATGCATATGTATCAGTCAGTCATATACAACGTAGAGCCTGACACAAATGTAAATCGGTCCAAGTCACCACATCTCATTAGTAAACAGTAA